CCCTATCTGTTTATGTTATGTCATGTTTTCGTCTTCCAAAGGAGCTCTGTCGGGCTTTAAATCGTATGATAGCACGGTTCTGGTGGGGTCGGCAGGGGACCGAAAGACGTTTGCCTTGGGTATCTTGGAGACATCTGTGCAAACCAAAAGGGGATGGTGGTTTGGGCTTCCAAGATTTTGAGGATTTTAATCAAGAGCTGCTTGCCAAGCAATGCTGGCGCATTTTACAAGATCCTAATTACCTAGTTGCGCGGGTCTTAAAAGGAAGATACTTTCATCATACGAGTTTCTTGAATGCCGGTGTGGGTTCTAATTCATCTTGGGCATGACAATCACTTCTTCATGGCCGGGCATTGCTACTACGCGATTTCGGTTGGGAGGTTGGTGATGGTTCTTCAATTGATGCTTTGACGGATCCTTGGATTCCATCTCTCCCAAGTTTTCGACCTGTGGTGCTGCCCACTGCATATCGGTCCCCTCGATTACTCTCCTACTTCATCTCTCCCATTCATCGTTCTTGGGACCTTCACCGACTTGGAGAGATCTTCACGCCGGATTCGACTAGGAATATCATTCGCATACCTTTGCCACAAATCTTTTGCCTGGATAAATTAATTTGGCATTTTGATTCACATGGTTTATTTGCGGTTAAGCCAGCTTATCAGTTGGCGACTATTTCGACTTCAGTCTCACGCGCTCGTGGTACAATGGACGAGGCTTCTCCTCTTGATCCTGCTTTATGGCCTCGACTTTGGGGACTTCCTCTTGCTCCCAAATTGAAGTTTTTCCTTTGGCAGATTTTACTACGAATCCTTCCGGTTAGGGAGGATCTTGGCCGACATGGGGTGCAGGTGGAAGAATCATGCCCCGTTTGTGGTTCAGATGAGGGAGAATCGCTGGAACATTAATTCCTTGCATGTCTTGTGGCGCTAGCTTTCCTCCAATGGTGTAGCTTACAACTGCCTCCGGGAATTTTTCCAAACACGCATTTGTCCATCTTTTTAAGACACATCATATTCAACTCCGATCATGCCACCATAATTAATTGGGTCCTCTTTTTTTGACGGATTTGGAAAGGGCGGAATAATGTTGTCTTTCCACCCTATGCACAATTTATCACTGCTACCTTGTACTGTCCCCTATTATCATCATGCCTCTCATCAAATTGTCGTCCTTCCCACTCAGTCGCATCCGCCGCCCCCCAAACCTCAATCACTTCCCCATTCGACGCTTCAAACTACATTCCGCATTGCAGTTGATGGGGCAACCAGTGCTCCGACTCATGGCGCAATTGGCGTGGTGGATTTTGATCAGAATGTACTAGTTTTTGAAATGGGTGGTTTCTTCCCAGTCCTTTTTCATCCTAAGGTCATGGAGGTGTAGGCAATTAGAGAAGGTATATTATTACTTCAACAATGGCAGTGGCAGAATCGGCCAGTCGTGATCACAAGTGATGCTCTTGCAGTTGTACAACATTTGACGGCTTCTGATGCCAACGATGCCCATGTGGGAGCTATCTTACAAGAAGTCATCATTATGTTGCAAGAACTGCTGCTAGTATCTGTTGCTTTTGCTCCTAGAGAAGCGAATCGGGCTGTCCATGTTGTGGCACGTAATGCCTTATGCTACTCTGGCTCTTGTAGTGTTCGTTTCAATTGTTCTTATTTGCTTTGACCATCATTTCACGAAGAAGTCGTGGTATTGTGGCTATCTCGTGCTTAACTAGTTAATCCGCAAGAGTTTCTATGACAAAAAGAAATATATGATTTGTTGGTTTGGGGTTGTGAAGTTGGGTGGATCACGGGATCACCACAATCAACCTGTACCCAACCAATCTTTAGTGAATTATTTTATGAAGGGCAATATCATATTATTATTAGAGAGAACAAAAGAATAAAATTCAAATAGCATAACACAAACGAGGAAAATGCAGAAAACAACCAACGTCCCCGCAGGTAGGGATGGCAATGGGTCGGGTTGGGGCGGGTTTTGTCAAACCCAAACCCATGGGTTTATCCGCCAAAAAAAACCCGGGGTAAAACCCGTTGGGTTTGAAAAACTCAAACCCAACGCAACCCGCTGGGTATCCGCGGGTTCATGGGTACCCGCGAGTTTTTGTGGTAAAAATTTACAATAACAAGTTTCTTTCAAAATAAAATTTTAACATCAATTTTCTCATACAAATTAATCATACAAAAAACACCAATCTAGAGCATACAAACAAACCGCAAATGATCAATACAAATTGTTCAAAATTAAAGATAAACATATATAAACAATAAGATTAATTGAAAGCTTCTTCCTCATCAACTAAGTTTCTTCACTCTCCACTTCATAATATCAACTTCATTCCAAAAAATTAGAAAGAACAAATTATATATGTCTCCACAAACATATAGAATATTAGTTGTTTAAGGAAGATATATTATTTAGAATATTAAATATACCGGGAAAGTAATTATATGTGTGTGGGCGGGTACCCATGGGGCGGGTTTACCTAAATCCAAACCCAACCCGATGAATAGTGTAGCGGGTTTAAACCCGAACCCGGCCCAAAACCCGTCAACACGGGTTTTACCCGTGTTGGGTCGGGTGGGTACCCGTGGGTTTGGGTTTTGTTGCCATCCCTACCCGCAGGGCATTCTGCAGAGACAATCAATTAAAAACAACAACATTTTAGTTGGTGGATTCAATCAAATCGTCAGATCCACCCAACCGCTTCATATACGAAAATGTCGTGAATGTCATTCCTAATGCTCTATATCATCATATTGTCTTCCTCCTTAAATTTTTCTTAAACTATGCTCTGCAATGGGAAGAAGCCTTGTTCTCATCGTTATTAGCCATTCAACTACCATTCCCCTCTCCGCAATCTGCGCAACTACCAGCCATTAGAGATTGCCTGTCCAATCCTACATACAACCAGTTGTGTTGATGCCACTTTGTCATCGAAAATGCAAGATTTCTTTCTAGCCAAATGGTCGAGCAGTATGTGTGGAAGAACACCTTGGTACACCATTGTCGGGGATCCTCCGGATTTTGGCAGGGCCGCCACAACATGATTCTATTTGTAAAATATGACGCACTGTTGTCATTACTATCAATCTTCATGAAGTTGCCATGATTCTCCAAACTTCTACCGAGAACTTGCAGCTGATGAAGATGTGATTGACTGTCTCTTCTTTATGCTTCACACAAGGCGCATCGACTTGGAAGATAGTGGATTTTCTATTTTAGAACTAACACTCATTCATGAGAACCATCCACAGCATAATGGAAGGATAGATTTGTGAGTGGATTTATGAGTTCAACAATCAAATACTCATCCCTGGTCAAAGTTGGATGCCTATGTTGGTCTTAGTTTGTGATTTTGAGTAATCTTTCGCAACCACAACGAAGCCGTGATTTTGTGGGCAAGCATGGGTATAGAGTTTCATGGGGGAACTTTGGCTCTTTCCTACAAGGAACTTGTTTGGAGAGGATCTCACCAGCTCCTATTGTGTAGTTAGGAATGACAGAAAACCCCAATATTTGAGTATTCTCTAAACTCAATTTTTTATAGGGCAAATCGGGTTTTATTTGAGTAATTTTACATTTGGGGTAGATCCATACCCAACATTTTAGTTACCCAATTTTTCGGTTTGGGTCTAAATTGGACTCATATCATTAGATTTTCAAAAGAAAACGAATACTCGATTATAATGCACTTTTGTCTTATATTTTGTTAAGAAACAAACAGAAAGTTGGAAACGCATTAAAAGTGTAGGTGGGTTGAAGGCAGTTAATGAGATGGGTTGAAGGCAGTTAATGAGATGGTCGATATTTGTCTTTTTTGTATACGATCATCTCGAACCAATTAGATCTATATGGTTTGACCCAAAAGAGTTTACCCAAATTGACTATAATTCAAACCCAACTAAAATAAAATCATTAAAAAATACATTTGAGTCTGATCCAATTTTCACATGAATCATGACAATTAGAGCTTAGTTTGGCCCTGCTGTAGCTTTTGCATAATCAGCTTTCTACTGGAGCTTTTATATAAGTGCTTTTCAAAAAAAGTAGTAGAGTGTTTGGTTTTAAAAATATTAGAAGTGTTTTTTAATACGAGAGGTTGTGTAAAATGACTATAAAGGACTTATAATATAAAATATGTATAAAAATTCTAAACATTAAAAGTAGTCAAAATGGATCTTGTTAGATTTCTTTTATATTAAATAATATTATTTTATAATTTATGTTATTTTTAAAATGATAGAAATGAAGGAAAATTAGATTTTCTGAAATAAAATTAAAATATGGTAAGGATAATCTTGTATTTTCAAAACAGCTTTTTGGAGAAACTCCAAATCGGAGCTTCTGCTTTTATGTTATACAAAAGCGTTTTTTCGACTTTTCAAAAGCCGAGATTTTAGAGGTGTTTGGCCCTGTTTCAGCTTTTGAAGACGAAAATCACTTCTAAAATCCGAGCCAAATATAAGCTAGGTCAAATTATCTAACGACCAATTTTCATTACTCAGTTGATTTTGCTTCATACTTTTATTTATTTTGTCCCTTCAGTTTTCAAAGAGTTTGTTTAGCTAGCCTTCTTTAATTTGTAAATTTTTTAGAAATGAACTTTTGTTTAGCTAAACTATGTTTTTCCCTTTGAGCAGTTGTAGTGATCTACATCGCAGGCAGGAGGAATAGTATTCATTGCACTACCACTATTGCTAGACGCAGACTCTTTAGTTGAAGAAATTACAAATTATTGTTAGCGTAGGTCGGGTAGGGGTAGCCCTTAGTCAATATCAAATACTTTGTTCTCAAAGAATTAATATCACTTTTTTTTTAACAAAACAATTAACACCACTTGATGTTGTTTAACAATATTTTAAGCTTTCCGTTAAAAAGAAACGAAAACCCAAATTTGAATGCGGAGTATTGGATCAAAGACCGTCTGGTGGTGTCCATTGTTGAACAGGGTATATAAAGGGCGTTGGTGATCCAATTCTTCAAACTCCATCGTCATTACAACACAAAGAAAGCAAGAAAGAAAAAAGGATCCTCTCTTGTAACTTCCTTCTTTTCCACTTGCCATCCGCGAAACAAGGGCGAAAATGGAAGCTTGGACTTTCCACAACAGTTACTCCGACGATCAGTTTCCAAAATCGGAGCTCGAGTACTATTTCTCCCCGCCGAAATCCACGTCATCATCATCTCCTCTCGACTCTTTCACCAGCTCCAGCTGCTGGGATGACTTCCTCACGCTTCCCGACGATTCCACTTCCCCCGCCGTCGAAATCATGGCGGCGGCGGCGGAAGAGCCGATGATCCCTGCCGGCGGAGCCGACTTACCGTTCTTCTCGCACCAATACTCCTCCGAGTCCAACGACAGGGCAAGAGAGGAAGAGCTGACCTCCGACGACGCGGCGGCGCAGACGTCATCGTCGTCGTCGTCGCCGTCATCATCATCGTCGCCGGCGTACAGGGGGGTGAGGAAGAGGCCGTGGGGGAAGTTCGCGGCGGAGATAAGGGACTCAACGAGGAACGGGGTGAGGGTGTGGCTGGGGACGTTCGACAGCGCCGAGCAGGCGGCGATGGCCTACGACCAGGCCGCATTCGCCGTCCGGGGACCCATGGCGGTGCTCAACTTCCCGGTGGAGAGGGTGAGGGAGTCGCTGGAAGGGATGAACTGCGGCGGCGGCGGGATGTTCGACGATCAAAAAGCCGACGCCGGGTGCTCGCCGGTGCTGGCCCTGAAGCGCCGCCACTCCGTCCGGAGAAAGTCAACGTGTAAGAAGAGCAAGGACCGGCGCCCGGCGCCGGGGAAGCAGCTGTTGGGAGGTGCCGCTACGACAGCGACGGCGGCGGCGGGGCAGAGCAATGTGGTGGTGCTAGAGGATCTAGGAGCGGACTATTTGGAGGAATTGTTGAGGGCTTGTACCGACAACCATCGCTAGATTTCCGGAATTATTCACCTGCGGAAACGGGAAAAAACAATCCCGGAGAAAAACAACAACTACAACTGGATATATAGAATAGAAGAAGGGGAAAAAAAATTGGTTTATTTTTGTGAATTCTATGTTTCATTTTTTCTTTTCCTGCGAGCACCACGTAAAAATGTTCTGGCATGACTGCACGTGGACGGGTCACCTACTACTCTGGTCTAAATCCCACCAAGACACCAGAATTAGCGATTTCTAGTTTTTTTCTTTCCACTTTTGGTTGTCTTCTTTACTTTGGTAAGAACAGAAATAATACGTACCATTGGTTTCAGCAATTGTATTATTAAGGTGCCGTCTGTATGATAGATTTGAATACATGGTGCAAACGGACCTCTAAACGTAGTTCATTCTTTCATTTGCAATCAAGTGCACATTTAATTAAGATATTAGGAAGGACACATTGTTAAAGTAGTCAAGCCGTTCAGATGCTATCATCTCCATCAGAGCAGATTGAAGATGCAGAGAAGAGCTGGAGAAGAAGGTTTTTTATGAACAAAATGCGTTTCGCGACTCGATGACATTTCGCTATATGGGGAGTGTTTCAAGCCTACGTTCCAAAACTCAACACTTTATGTTTTACTATTTAATTAGTGCAGTTAGTTATTACTAGCCTATCGTTGCTTTCCAAGTGGCATTGTTATCGTTGCTTTGGGACGAATTGAAGCACTAGTTTGGGAAACCTAATACCAGGCGCATTATCAATTTAAAGGATGAGATCCAGGCCCGCAAACAAGGAGATTGCACTGTTACTCAATATTACATTGCCATCAAGGGTCTTTGGAAGGATTATTTGGGATTCTCTCCTATTGTACCTTGTCTGTGTGCTCCGAGCTATCCCAATGCTTGTACTGCAGTGGAGGCTTTCAAGAGGAAACAAGAGACAAACTACTTGATTCGCTTCAACAATGGCCTTCATCCGGATCATGATGTTATCAAGACGCAGTTGCTCATGCTTAAACCTCTACCCACTATTCCTGCTGATGTTGAAGACATTCTTCAACATGAACATAAGTTGAAGGAGGACTCTAGCTCCAAGCATGGCCAATCTATTGATTTGGCAGCAGTTGGTAAAGACCAGTACAAGGGAAAGTCTGATTATAACTCTGAGAAGTTATTTTTTACTACTGTAAGCGTTCTGATCACGTTATTAAGGATTGTTGGAAGCTGAAGAAGAAAGAAAAGGAGAAGGCACAACATGGGTTTGCTAGTTCTGCAACTCATGATGTTCATTTTTCTGATAATACCAGTACTGTCTCCGATGATAGCCCCAATTCCTCCAAGTCTTTACTCAACTTATCCTTAGATGATCTGGCTCGTTTGAGGCATCTTCTCCAATTTGGCATGAACACTGATCCAACTTCTCCAGGAACAACCCTTAAGGTTTCTCTGTTACTAAGTACTTACCATCTATTCCCAATCATGAGGGTAAGTACATTCTTTCTTATCATGTTGAGATGCGCAATTCGACTCCAGCTGCTATTTGGATTGTAGACATCGGGGCCTCAGATCACATCACTTGTAGCATTGAATTTTTACTTGATGGTATGACTGTCAATGATGTGTTTGTCTACTTACCAAATCAGTCTAAGGTTCCTGTAAGTCACGTTGGTACTGTCAAACTCGCATGTGGTCTTCTTCTCTCCCATGTGCTACTACTTGACCAAATAATCACCAGTTTCTCTCCATTTCCACTTAGATGTCTGTAACCTTCAAGGCCATCAGACCTAGAGGAGCTTTGGTTTGGCAAAACAAAGTAAAGGACTGTACCACCTCACTTCCCTCTCCACCACATTACCTTACCAGTCTTTCACAACTCCTCATGTTGCTTCCTCTTACGATCTTCAATCCCATGATGTTAATCTCTGGCATTGGCGTCTTGGCCATCCTAACAAAGATAGATTCCAGTTACTTAAACACTAGAACTCTATTGTTAATAGTGAATCTATGTCTAACCGTGATATTTTCCATCTAACCAAACAAAGGAAACTTCACTTTCATGTTAATGGTACCTCAGCTGTTGAGGCTTTCTCTTTAAAACATGTTGATATATGGGCCCCCTAGTCTGTTCAATCTTATGATGGCCGACTATAATTATTTCTTAACTATTTTAGATGATCACAGTTGAGCTGTATAGATCTATCTCATGCATAATAAGGGTGAAACTCGTGATTTGCTGTAAGGTTTCTGTGCCTTAGTTACTAATTAGTTTGGTAAATCAGTTAAAGTGATTCGTAGTGATCAAAGAAAGGAGTTTCACATGATTGAATTCTATAGACAATCTGGCATTAAACACCAAACTACTTGTGTTGAATAACCTGAACAGAATGGTAGAGTGAAACGTAAACACCAAACATCTTAAATGTTGCTCGTGCCTTGCGATTTCTATCTGGTATTCCCTTGAAGTTTTGGAGTGACTGTGTTCTTCACTCTGTGTATCTCATCAATAGACTCCCCACGCCAATTTTACAGAACAAGTCCCCTTATGAGCTATTTTTCATAAACAACCAGATTTGAGCCATTTAAAGGTGTTTGGTTGCCTTGGCTACACTTGTTCAGGGTAGAACAAAATTCCAGTCTTGAGTGTGCTAGTGTATTTTCCTTGGATATCCAACTGGATTAGAGGCTACGAAATGTTTGACCTCGCATAACATATAGTATTCATCTCTAGGAATGTTGTTTACTATGACAACATCCTTCCTTACAAACTTCTCTTAGATTCACCTTCCCCTTCTTCCTCTTCTCCACAACCTACTCCTATTGCTCCAGGACTTTTGGCTCCTGATTCTACTTCTTTCTTTCCTCCCCAATCTTCTATCAATAAGGAATCAAGGGGGCATGCCCCCTGGTAGTGATGGTGCACAAGTCACACCTGACCTGCCTAGTTCTTCCCTGCCAATTGAGTCCCCAAATGATGATTCCCTTGTTGATACTTTAGAAGATGATCCTCCAGAACTGGAAGTTCAAGAGGAATATGAAGGCAAGCTAGTTTGAGCTAACAGGGGGAAGTTACCTATTAGGCTGGAAGACTAATATGTAGGGAGTACCAGCAAATACCCCATGACTGATTTCTTACAGTATGATCCATTTCCACCTCGTGAGAGAATTTAGGCCATGAATGTAACTTCTGAACTTGACCTCAAACATATGAGGAAGTAGTACAACATGAGCATTGGAGGAAGGCTATGAATGAGGAGTCAGATGCCTTAGAAGCCAACCATACTTTGGATCGATGTAGTACCATTACCAAAGGGCAAGAAAGCCATAGGTAATAAGTGGGTCACAAAACCAAAAGGAATCCAGAAGGTGATGTTGAGAGGTTTAAGGCCATACTAGTTAAAAAAGGTTTCACATAGGTATATGGAATTGATTTCCTTGAAGCCTATTCTCCTATAGCCAAGATCAATTCTGTTAAGGCTTTATTAGTTGTGGCTGCTGTTAAGGGATATGTTTTGGATCAAATGGTTGTTTCAAATGCATTTCTTCATGGTGATTTAGAAGAAAAACTATATATGGTTCGACCACCAAGAGATCCTAGAGCTAATGGTCCTGATAAGTTGGTTTGTTGGTTAAGAAAGTCATTGTATGGACTTAAACATGCAAGTCGACCGTGGTTTTACAAACTTACTTCTTCCTTGCTTAAACATGGCTTCTCTCAATATGTTTCAGATTATTCTTTGTTAACCAAATGGGTTCAAGGAAGAATTGTTGTATTGTTTGTGTATGTGGATGACATTATTCTAGGTGGAAATGACAGAAGAGATGTAGAAGACGTGAAGCTCTTTCTCAACGGGGAATTCAAAATTAAAGACTTGAAAAGCCTCATATACTTTCTTGGTTTGGAGATTAGCAGGACAAGTGCTGGCATTGTAGTGTATCAAATGAAATATTGTTTGTAGTTATTAAAGGACACTGGTTACCTTGATGCCAAACCCTGCAAGTCACCACTGGATACAAAGGTGTCATTGAGAGCCAAGCAAGGAGAACCACTCGATGACCCTAAGATGTACAAGAGACTCATTGGGAAACTACATTACCTTACCACTACTACGCTAGATTTGGCATTCCCTATGCAGCAGCTAAGCCAGTTTCAAAGGGATCCTTACATAGAACATCTCAAGGCAGCTTACAGAGTTTAGAGGTACATGAAAGGGTCACCAAACAAGGATTTATTTCAAAAGTAATTCCTCATTGAAGCTGTCAGGCTATAGTGACTCAGATTGGGCAAGTTGCCCTGATTCCAGAATATCAGTAAGTGGCTATTGTACCTTCCTTGGAGATTCTCTGGTCACATGAAAGGCAAAGAAGCAAACTGATGTGTCAAAGTGGCAAAACTTGGTGTGAATATTCAATTACCAATCTCAGTGTTCTGCGAAAACAAACCAGCCATTCATACTGCCGAAAACCCTATGTTCCATGAGAGAACATAACACATTAAAATTAATATTCATGTGACCAGAGAAAGAGTTAAATCAGGCCTGATTAAGCTATTTTATGTGAGATCAGATGGTCAAGTTGTTGACTTGTTTACAAAGGCTTTGAACAGGTTTCGATTCAGAGAATTACTTGACAAGCTTGGAGTTAGTACACTCCATTGAGGGAGGTTGTTAAAGTAGTCAAGAAGTTCATATGCCATCATATCCAACAGAGCAGATTAAAGATGTAGAGAAGAGTTGGAGAAGAAGGTTTCATTCAATAACGAAATACATTTCGGAACTCGAAGACAATTCGCTGTATGAGGAGTGTTTCGATCCTAAATTCCAAAATGCAACACTTTATGTTTTACCATTTAATTAGTGCAGTTAGTTATTGCTAGCATATCGTTGTTTTCCAAGTGGCATTGTAATCGTTTGTTACCGTTAGCAAATAGTGAAACTTGAACTGTTATAAATAATAGTCTCACCCAGCTACTCTGGCTGAGGGTTTTCGATCCATTCAGTGGCGGACCTAAGGCATTGCAGGGTGTGTCGTCCGACACACCCTCGCTCGAGAATTTTACGAAGGACCTACATATTTTTGGTACAAAATTTTTTACTTCGGGATAGCCGACACACCCTCAATAATTATAGCCGACACACCTTCATTATACTCAAAGAAATTATTATCCAAATGAATCAATCTTAATCATAATCCTTTTTAATTTTGTTTAAAATAACTCATAAAGTATAATCCTATCCTTCCTATTAAAAAAACACTCTTAGCCCATACAATATACACGTGTGATGAGTGTTGAGCCTGAGCCTTTAATTAAATGAGAAAAGAACCCACAGG